CGGGTCAAAATTGGCGGGGGAGCGGGGCGAGGGGGAGGGCCAGCAGCCACGCACAGCCGCCTCGTCGCCACGCGCCGTTGTTCCCGTCGTGCACTGCGCCGGGGCCTGGGAAAAGGGAGAGAAAAGGACCCGTGGTAAGTTACAAAGTCAACAAAAAACATAATCCACACAAGAAAAAAATAAAACCGACAAACCCACAGTGTTTGGGCCCCCTGTTAATACCAAACATGGTGGCACTGTTCCGTGCCATCCCTGTCCCCGTCCCCACTGGTGTTTGGGATGCAACCCCCCTGTGGTCCAGCTTTGGCCCCGAGTCCATCCCCTGAGCTCATCGCCGCCAACCGACCGCCTCCGACACCCTTTGCCCGTCCTCAAACATTTATCCAAGTTCGCAGACACACTTGTAGGGCAGATGATAGCTTTTGCCCAATGCTGTCCATGCTCTGGTGGCCCCGGGGGGCCCCCCCCCCCTTTTTCAACTACCGCCCCCTTGTTCACTGCTTGTCTCCCTTGTTGGTGCACGAGAACCTCCTGCCTGCCTGGCAGACGCACCTCCAGAAGTGCTAAACTCTGAGCTCGGAGTCTTACAACTCCCCGGAGCCTGGACCATCTCAAAAAAATGAGATGGAATGAAAAAAGAGTGGTCAAGAAGAGCCAAGCCCATCCATGCTTTTGGGGGTCACAGGGGATAAGGAGCTCGTAGCTCACCAGGGGAAAGGATGTAGAGAAGGGCTGTCAAGAAAACACCCCAAATAGTTGGCCCAGGAGAATGCTAGGCTGGAAAAAGATCTCAAAAGGGCATCCAGGCCAATGCCCTGTCTGAACAGAGCTGCCCGTGAGGTCGGCTCGACCCATGCTTTTGAAACCCAGAACGTATCCCCTCACTTCAAAGCCTGACTGAGGCACTGGAAACCATTAAGCGTTTGGTCTCCTGCCACTAACACTCTTACAACACACTCATAGACACCTCACTGACGCTGCCCACATAGCCCCAAATCCTGGAGAGGGTTGATCTGGAGAGGCGATGGTCTCCGCGCTACCTCTGCAGCCCTACCGACATCTACGAGTCATCCCAAGGGCTGACCGTGCCACGCATCACAAATCAAGCCACCTGGCTATGGAGCCCCAAAAATCAAAATGACATCCAGGTGACTGGCTGGCTGGTAAGATTGGATGGCATAGTGACAGCCACCCTGGTCACAAATAATCATAGAATGGTGTGGATTGGAAGGGACCTTAAAGATCATCCAGTTCCAACCCCCAAAATAACACTGGGAGGAGGACCAGACACCTCTCCACCTCTGTCATGTCCCCAAAATAAAGTCACTAGAAGCACCCCAGGGGCAAAAAGACCAGCTGCAAGACCCATGTACACAGCAACATGGAGAAAGCAAACTACAGGCATCCCTGCTTCTGCCCCAGTGACGGGGAGAAGTGGACAGCGGTGACGGGGAGGGAGTGCGGGAGAGGGGACTGGGGCAGGGGGACAGGACATGCACAGGACCACCACCAGATGCTCACAGGAGGCTGGTGGGAAGGAGACGGGATGGGAGGGATGCTACACAATGCTAAGTCATGGCTACGCTAGCGGGAGGGGTGGGATTGCGGGGTGGGAGCTCCTGCCGGGATGAGTCGGGGCGGGAGCCGGAGGGATCGGTGGGGAAACGGAGCTGGGGGAGACTGCTGGTGTGGGGGGGGGTCCCCGAATTACTGACCTTTCCAGGGTGTCAGAGCGGTAGTTGTCTCTTCTAAAAATTAAAGAACAAGAGACAGTTAAGGCAAAAGGGCAATGGAAAGCGCAGGCTCGAGGTGTTTCGCTCAGCCTGCCCTCGACCTAGGGCTGGGGGAAACAAGAGGATGGATGGAATAACATGGGTGATGCTGCTGCCCCAAATCACGCCCTGCTCCTCTGGGACTGTGGTCCCCCCTCCGGGGTGAGTGCTGGACGCTCCACGCTTGCACCTTGAGCAAAAAGCAAAGCCCAGGGGCTGCCTTTTGGGAGGGTTTGGCTCTCCCCTGTGCTCCTCCCGTTCCCCTCCGGCATGGATTTGGTGTCCATCCCTCTCCGTAGCCCTGAAACATCCCAAATGGATTTATCTCCTGACGCCAGTCTCTGGGAAGTGATGCCGACCACGTGACAAGTGAGAAATGGACAGTTTTGGGGTTTTTTCCCCCCCCAAATGCCACAAAATGATGTGCTTTCACCGAGAGCTCCATCACCTTCCAGACAGCACTAAATGAGCCGCTGAATGAGGCGGCAGGTCTGTATTAACAAGTGCTACGTGTTAAATAAAGCACCAGTTGACCTCCCTGAAAAATTAGATTAAAACAAGGATTAAAAGATGTACGCTACATTAGCCTCTGTCTCCTGGCCTCGGGAACACTTACATCACCGTGCCCACAGGGATTAAACCTCTATTCCGGGGTAAAAAAACCCCAAAACGCTCGCTTAGCCTTAGAAAAAAGTCAATACACACAAAACTAGTTCCCTAAAACCGAACCGGTGGGACATTACTCGTGCCACAGGTAGCACGGCTGTCGCGTGCTGCTTCCCTCTGATCTTTCATTATGATAAATAAAGACACATTAATTGCCAGACCAAAGGATCTGTTGCTTAGGGACCGGTGAGCTCGGCCCGATGATGCTCGATGGCTGGGCCGCTCGTGTTGCTATAAATACAGAGGGGTCGTTCTGTGCCTGGGATCCCTTGGGTCAGCTGTGGGTTAGGGTGGCCAGGGGAACTGTTGCCCCTCAAGGGAACTCAACTCAAAAAGACTGAAAGGATCATTAAATCAATGTGGCTTTAGGGAAATTACGGCCGGTCAAAGGACTCTGATATTAATCCCCTGATGGGACTCACAGTCAGACCTACAAAGCTAAAGAGGTTCATGAAATA